CGTGACAGAAAATAGTAAAAATAATAAAGGGAGAATCTTAAAACGAGTCCTTAGAGTCGCATCCTTGTTTGATAGTGCCAGTACCTACTCTTGTCTTAAGCACTGTGTTTAGCCCACGGGGGGCTCTTGTGGCCTCGAGATTAAGATATTAGCCTCTCATACAATAAGTCCCAGGTACGAATCCGGATAGCAGCGGAACATTTTCTTCTCTAAAATTGTGTCCTTTCACATCATTTCCTGCTCTCTAACCAATGTTCTGTCGTCTGCTTTCGTCTCCACTTTCTGCCTCACCCCCTTTGCCCCTCCTCTGGGCTCCTGACTTTCTGCAGCCTTTCTCCTATTTCTCCTTGGCTCCTTCTTAGTGCTGTCTTTCAGCAGCACCCGTGATCTTGTTGTAGGAAAGATCTACACCTACGCTTCTTGGACAAGGGCGAAAAATCTCAGAGGTCCCGCGTGCAAGTTGCGCACGTTAAAGATCCCTTGGTGGTCCAAAATCGGTTGGAGTAGGCTTCGGCCGCCACCCTTGCAAAATTAAAAATTTTCTAAGTACTGAAAATGTTTAATGTGTGCCGCGCGCTTATATTATGACCTTATGCTGTTGCAAGAGCCGTAAAACACTTACCAGAAAAAAATACCACTCCTGTACCTGATAGGCAGCACCGTGCCTGTTTGGTCTTCAGTTTGCATATTAAACGAAATTTCTCTTATGAACACCGGCGTCTTTGGTGTAACAGTTAGGCGATTCACCGTCTCACGGAGGGGACCCGAGTTCGATTCTCAGCTTGGGAGATTATTAAAATTTATCGAGTATCTCTATCTTTGTGCTGGGATGTGTCCTTCTCAGTCTGTGTGGCTGGCCTGCCAGTCCTCTTCCTTCCATGATAAGATAAGATAAGATACATCTTTATGGTCCAGATCCTGGCATATTGGTTTGGTGTTTCACCACGTGTACTCACACCCCTACACACACACTCATGCACACAAACGCAGGCTTACAATCACATGCATAATATAAAAGA